GTGTTTCTACTTGTATTATGTTGGTTTTGCATAGTATTTTGGTGAAATCTTGGTATTAAGGTGGAAATACATTCACCCTATACTTTCTCTAATAAAACGAACATAAAAGTGCCTTTTAAGGCTTAGTGTCAGACATGTCATAACATCGAAATATTATTTAATGATATTTATCTGTATCAAATTGGCTTCAAATGAACAACTACATATATTCCCTTGTATAGGGGCATTAAGTCAGAAAATGACCAGTGTTTGTGATATAGAACTTGTCAATCAAGTGCATCGCTGCTCCTCCCTTTTGCCATAATAATGTATGTTGATTTTGCTTTTACGTTTGAATGTGCAAATGACGAAGTCTGAAGTAAAAAAAAATAATTAAAGTTAAAACCAGTGTGTCCAACCCTCCCGGCCCCGCCCTGAGTTAATAAAGTCAGAGAAGCTCTGACACCTCCATCATTTATCCTAAACTCCTGGAACATCTCACACACAGGTAAGAAACGCTTTAAACTTTCTTTACAAGTGGCTGTTAACCTGAATTTGCATGAATCCAGAGACAGATACGTGTAATGACATTGCATTATACAAAGATTTAACAGATGAGGTCTATTCAAATAATTAGAAATGGCTGATACGTATTTTGATTTTTAACGTCCAAAAAAAAAAAAAATCTCAAAACTAAATGCACTTTTATGAGCTGTTTTTTTTATTTATCTTTAACTTTGTTTGCTTGAAGTGTTTGTGTAATCATTCATTAAAACAAATAGCATTTGCTTGGATATTTTTGTTTTATAATTTTAATACATTGATATATTTTTGATCGACTAAAGTGTCCAAATATTTGTCAGATCTACTGTTTTTTTTTCTGTGTGTACCAATGCAAGCTGTTTTTTTATTATTTTATCTGAGTTTGATCTTAAATTATAAATCTTATTATGCATTGTATTGAATGCAGATAAGATAGCCTATCATTTGAATATATTGTATCTTTGGATTATAATTGAAACTAGTTATAAAAATAGAAATCAATTATGTATCATTTCATTTTTGTCTACTCTGAAAAAAAAAATGCTTTGTGTTATTGGACGGTGCAATCCTGTCCGAACGACCCAACTTTTCCAGAGCTACAGACTATGGAATGACTAAGGAGCCACTAACTTTTAAAGCATATATTAAAAAAAAAAGTTTTTAGTTGCACAAATTTCATTTTTTATGCTCACACTTAGTTTTGAGGATGAATTTTGAGGATCTATCAAATTCTGTAATTTTACACTTTACCATAGTGATAAGGTGGAATGGTTGCACTGTGTAGTATATACTGTGGTGTAACACTAGTGTGAACATAGGAAATTGTTCTAAGATTGCATAGATAGCGTATAAACAACTACTGCTGAGATAAAGAAATGAAAAGACATTAAGCAACACTCATTTTTAATGTTAATGTTAAGGTTAAATTGTTAAAATGCCATAATATTTTTCAATAATATATTACTAAATAAGCTAAGGTAAATAAACTAATGTGATGATGAACTGAGGATCCAGGATCATGCTTGTTTATGTCTGCGAAGGAATGATAAAAGATAATGAAAGACAAAGGGCCCTATTTTAACAATCTAAGCGCAAGGTCTGAAGCGCACGGCGCAGGTGCACTTAGGGTGTGTTCAAATCCACTTTTGCTAGTTTATCGACGGGAAAAAACGGTCGACGCGCCCGGCGCATGGTCTAAAATGGTCCCTATTCTCCCCTCTAAGCGCCAAAGTCACAAAATTGCGACAAGACGTCATACTTAAAGGGGTCATATGATGCGATTTCAATTTTTCCTTTCTCTTTGGAGTGTTACAAGCTCTTGGTGCATAAAGAAGATCTGTAAAGTTGCAAAGACTAAAGTCTCAAATCCAAAGAGATATTCTTTATGAAAGTTTAGAGTCAACCACGCCTACCTAAAACGTCTCGTTCTAACACGCCCCCACATATCTACATCACTATGTGGCAATATTAGCATAATGCAGATCAAATGTGCATGCAAAGAAAGAAGGCGGGGTTTCAGGAACAGCAGTAGTGTTGATGCAGCCATGTCAGGGAGACGCTGTGTGATTCAGTGTGAAAGCAAAAGCCCTTTATTTGGCCTTCCGGAAGTAGATGCAATTAGGAATCATTGGTTAAAATTTATTTACAACAGAACAGCACAACCCAGATGTTCGAATTTGTGCAACGCATTTTATGGACAACAGTTTTTTTTAACCTAGAAGAGTACAAGGCTGGCTGTGCACAAAGGCTATTTCTAAAAAAAAAAAAAGGGTCAATTCCAACTTTGCTATGACAATCTGGCGCTTCTGAATCAGCGACTGTAAGTATATTTTGTTATCAGTTTAATTATTTGCTATTGACTGTTCAAATGCGGAGTTTTACGCAGCGCAGAGTAACGCGTCATGTGTGTGGAAGACATGTAGCACTTCGATTCTAGACCAAAATTACGTCATGTTCATATATAAAGTGTTCGAGCAAATAGCAGAGCAAGTGAGCTATCGTGTCATTGATGCGGAAGCAGTTCAGTTCATAGCGTGCGTGTAAATGGTGAGATTTGTGAGAGAAAATCACCAAATGGCTAATAAAAAGTTGTACCGTGAGGATGTGTTGCAAATGTTATTCGCCGATTCTGACTCTGAAGGGGAATATTTGCCTTTTGAAAATGACGATCGCCGTGCAAGGCGAGAGTGTTCACAAAGCACAAACAAGTGATCATTTCGACCCTTTGCCCAACGGGGATGGGGGTGGCAGGGGTGAACGTGGTCGTAGTGTCCATAGGAGAGTTGTTGCTAGAGGTAGAGGCAGCAGGGGTTCTGTTTTTTCTGATCGCGCACGCTCTAAGGGCAGCCAGCAGACACAGTACAGGTGCAGTCAGTGTGAGGTAGGTCTGTGCGATGTGCCATGCAATGAGAGGTACCATACTCTCAAGAACTATAAACTGTGTCACCTAGATACCTGATTGGGCAGATAGCTGGCCAGCTGATCAAAAAATAGGCACATGCATTTTACTATGGCACAGTAATATAGTAATAATTTACTACTTTCTCCTGTTTTACTGTTGATTTCCTCTTTTTCTGATAATTTGGAATGAGGATAAAAAGACAAAAAAAGGCATCCATTCAATATCTATTATTTCCTGAATATTACTGATGAACTGATCAAAAAGTAGGCTACTGTTCATATGCGTTTTACTACTATATAGTATAGTAATAATTTAGTACTTTCTCATGTTTTATTGTTGGTTTCCTCTTTTCTGATCATTTGGAATGAGGATAAAAGACCCCCCCCCCCAAAAAAAACATGCAAATAAGCATGCATCAATTCGATCTACTATTTCCTGAATATTATGAAATTCAAGATAGCCGCCCCTGATGATGTCATAATATGCAAATTAGATGAGTATATTTACACCCCATATAAACTTTCAGTCATGCCCAATATTTTTTCTAATTTACAGTAGATCTCTATCTTTAAACCCTTTCAAGCCACAAGCTTTTGAAATCTTGATGTCAAAATCCAGCATTTTTCCAAAAATCCCTGGCACCTAAAGGGGTGTGTTTTGGACCTAACGTGCAATAAACCAATCAGAGCCTCATCTCCCATTCCCTTTAAGAGCCAGTTGCGCTAGTGCCATGGCGGATTTGCTATTTACACAGTGGAATTTGCAAGCGCAAAGACAACGTGTCTCCAGAGAGGAAACGGAGCTGCTCGTTCATGAGCAAATAGGTAGCCTAATTCTGATGCATGCAATGACTATCCATTATGACATGTAGGCATTTTTATATTTATGTAGCCTACACAATAATAATATTTTACATTGTAATCCTTTAAATTTTTTATATTTGGCATGCTTGTGTGCTGCTGTGCATCCCTGTGTGTGTAATAAGTAGCTTGTACGTGCTATGTGGACCCACCTATACTAACGCGCTCTTTAAATAACAAAAAAAAAAACTACTGTGCCATTGACTTTAGACCAGGTTTTAGTTTGGCAGTCTATTTTAGTTGCCTCAAAATAGCAATGTGACAGCAATGCTCCTGAACACACCTTGTTTTCAGACCAGCATGCCCATGAGTGCTCAAATGGGCACAAATGCATTTACTATTTAAACAACGTGGTGCAGGACGTGAAAATGATTACTGTGTCGGGCTGAAACTAGCAAAAAACACTTGTGTCTCTCCTGGCGCCGCACTGCGTCGGGTGTATGATAGGGCCCAAAGTCTTTCAGATAAAGTCTGCCTTTTGTTAATGGCTTTTAAAATCTATTTTAAAATGTCCAAAATTTTAATTTTTTTTTGATTATACAAGCTTTTCTTTTTTAATTATAGGTTACAAAAAGTGCAAGATTAACAGATATATAAGCACACAAAGATCACTGATGAGGAGTAAATGGATCTATGTGGCTATCCTGGGGATAGCATGCATGATGCTTGGAGTCAATGGGAACAATACAACAAGCAGTAGCAACTCTACAGGCAGCTGGATATCTTCTAACATGACCACCAACCTGACCCAGACTCTACCACCCAACATGACCACCAACCTGACCCAGACGCACCCACCCAGCATGACCACCAACCTAAACCAGGTCGGTCCCTTCAACATAACCACAAATTTGACTCAAACAGGACCTCCCAACATAACCCCGAACCTAACCCAGACGGGCCCTCTTAACATGACCACAAACCCGAACCCGATCAGCCATTTTAACATGACCACAAACCCGATTCAGATAGGACCTCTCAACATGACCACAAACCCAACCCAGATGGGTCCTCTCAACATGACCACCAGCCTTATCCAGACAGGCCCTCTTAATATTACTACAAACCCATCCCAGATGGGCCCTCTCAACATGACCACAAACCAGAACCAAATGAGCCCTTTTAACATGACCACAAACCCAAACCAAATGAGCCCTTTTAACATGACCACAAACCCGACCCAGGTGGGCCCTCTCAACATGACCACCAACCTGACCCAAACACGCCCTCCCAACATGACCACAAACCATAGCCAGATGAGCCTTCTCAACATGACCACAGCTCCAAATCAGATGGTCCCTTTTAATATTACCACAAACCCAACCCAGTTGGGCCCTCTTAACATGACCACCAACCTGACCCCCAACCTGACCCAAACACAGCCTCCCAACATGACCACCAACCTGACCCAGACGCACCCACCCAGCATGACCACCAACCTAAACCAGGTCGGTCCCTTCAACATAACCACAAATTTGACTCAAAGCGGACCTCCCAACATAACCCCGAACCTTACCCAGACGGGCCCTCTTAACATGACCACAATCTCGAACCCTATCAGCCATTTTAACATGACCACAAACCCGATTCAGATAGGACCTCTCAACATGACCACAAACCCAACCCAGATGGGTCCTCTCAACATGACCACCAGCCTTATCCAGACAGGCCCTCTTAATATTACTACAAACCCATCCCAGATGGGCCCTCTCAACATGACCACAAACCCAAACCATATGAACCCTTTTCACATGACCACAAACC